CTCTTTCAATGATTACTGCACTAAGAAATTTAAACACTAACACAATTAAAAGTCTGGTCTCCTTTCTCAATTACAATAAAATAAACTTGTAAGCACTTCCAAAAATTTTGAACGATCCAAAAACATTGAAACAGCAACACACTCATCCACAATCACTCAATATCATGAACAAAAGAATATTCTTAAAAAAAAAAAAAAAAAAAAAAAAAAATAAAAAAAAAAAAAAAAAAAAAATAAAAAAAAAATAAAAAATGAAAAATATCCCAAAAAAATTTCCTTTTTAGAAAAAAAAAAAAAAAAAAAAAAAAAACATCCTCCCCACCTGTGTTGTGTCATCCTTTTATGTGTTTACAACCTCAACTCACAGGAGGAAAGAAAATAAATTCCATAAACCAGATAAAGATAACAGCAGTAAAATCTCGAAGACCTTGAAAGTACAGCGTCCGGAGCATGGCTTAGAGCCAGACAGCTCTCTGGATACCAACAAATGTGCTGGCAAATTGCCCCTTGTGGAGCAGAGCCAATATTCAGTTAAGAAGAAGAAGAAGAATTTCGCGCGCTTGAATTTGTTGTTGGCCTCTTAACACCCTCATAATTCCCTTGATACATAAATAACTATAAAAAGCGTATGTAAAAAGCCAGCCTATTCTGACGGTTGCAAGTGTCTGCCAGAACAGCATGTAATAGTTATGACGCTCGATGGGAGTGCGAGCGCAACAGACATAATATGAGTTCCAATGTCAGAATGAGAGGATACGATATTATATTAGGAAGATATGACAAACGATTACTGAAATTGAAGATAAATAGAGTTATATGTAACGTATACATTTTTATGATGGACAAATTCTTGGACACAAAATGGCTCAAAATATAAATTTTTATTTTTCTTAACAAATATGGATTAGTTATCGAATTTCATTAGTCTTCATCTGCGGAATCAATAATTATCATTCGCTGCATCGTTTTCTGGAAAAAGAAACAAAAATTTCTTATCGATAAAATGAAATGAAGGAAAAAAATGTTTATGCACTTTAGGGATGAACAGTACCCTTTTAATCCATGTTTTAAGGGAGTAAAGTGGGACTTTTAATCCCCGGGATTAAATTTCACTTTATTTCCCGAGGGATTAAGTTTTTACTTTATTTCCCAGGAATTAAATGAAACAGGGAATAAAAGGGAACTTTCGTAAAGTTCTAAAAAAGTGTTTTATAAAATACATAAAATAGTGTATACACCTCAGGACTAAAGTGTTTTTTAATCATTCGACAAATTATAGCCCTCCCTTCGGTCGGGCTATAAACTTTTTGTCTCAGGAAGTAGGTACCACTTTAGTCCCTAGGTGTGTAATGTACTATTGAGTATTGAACCATACAAACACCATACGGGCAGATAAGAAACAAATTATTTCCTGGTTAGTCGGATGAACCGCTAGCTCTCCTACTATAACTCCCCCACCATCAAATTCTAGGATACTCGAAGATCAAGAACATAATTTCTTCTGTGAGAACAGACGGAAACAGGGTCGGCACTCGGCACAACCATTATGCGAACTAGGCGGTCGACTAGGGCGGCAAACCTAAGGGGGCGGCAAAAACGCAACAAAAAAAAAATCTTTTGAATTCTACTTTTCTTCATAATATTCAGGATTCCATTTCTCTTGCAAACCCAAATACAAACTTTGCCCTCTTCTTATGAGTACAGTGGGAATCATTGCAATTGGCACACACTATATAAATATCCCTCGTAATGTGTCAAATCTGACGCACAGTAATAGCAAAATGCTGCACTTTAAATAGATTTATTGGTTAGAATTTTGACTTAATACGAGGGATTTTAAAGAGTGTGTGCCAATTGCAATGATTCCCACTGTACATATACTGCTATACCTGTTTCTGCTAGTAACTATCAGGGTCGTGCGACTGGGTGGCGGGCGGTCAAAACCTACTTATTTTATATTATGAATATTTTTGGCAGAAAATTAACGTTTTGTGTTTGTGTATATTTTTTTATGTTGATATTCTATAATCTCTATTCTGTAAATCAGGTTCACCTATATTAGAGAGTTATTGGACGTGCAATAAGGACAAGCAGTATTTAAATTAGCCCTATTTTGACATCTACGCATGCGCATTTGGGTCCGAAAATAAGGATTCCCTTAATAAGGTTACTGCTTGTCTTTATTTATATATGGTTAGTGTGAGGCAGTAAACTTCCCTTATTTCAAATTTCTGACATTTTGGACGAGTTTGACGTTTCGCTTTTCGATGATGACGTAATTTTACTTGGAAAATTTATTTTTTACAATAGTTTTCCATTTTACAGTGGGTAAAATAAAAAAATGGGTATCAGCAGAAAATCACAAACAAAAATAAACACTTTTTGAGGCTGAAATTTATAAACATAGTTATCAGCTGTCAAAATTATGAATACAAACCGTGCGTTCGTTATTTTGGTCTGAGTTCTCCGAGCATGACTTTACCGTTCGTTTATTCAAAAAGTGTACTCGGTGCAGCCTCATTCGCGTTCGTTTATTAAAATTTCTGGCACTTTTATATAGCGTTCAACTGCTCTGTTCCCTCGCTGGTCACGTGATTACGGCTCCGCTCAGCACGCTCTGCTCTTCGAGCAAAATACCGAACGCAAGGAAAATAAGGTAATACTCTAACACCTACTGCAGTCTTCCAATAACTGTTTTTTTCTTGGAAAAATAGTGCTGATGCACTAATAAAATAACGTAGATCCTTAATACTGCGAGGCAGTATTTAATAGTTCCAATAACTCTCTTTATGTACAATCACTTATAAAACTATAGAACATGTTTTCAAAAATAGGCATGCATATTCGTATTTTCACTTGATGGGGGCGGCAGACAGTACATTTGCCTAGGGCTTCAAAGTCACTTGCGCCGACCCTGAACGGAAATCACCTTTCCTGCATTTAAAACCGACGAAAAAATTAACTCACTAGTACAGCCTGAATCGCGAGCATTCCATCGAGGGCTGCAGGTGACGTCATTACTATAAGCTGAAGATAGTGACGTCACTCGAAGGCCCAGAATTTGATGGCGAGGAAGTTAGGGGAGTATGATACAATGAGGAATTTGCAGATTTTTTTTTTATTCTTATATTAAATTTTTCACATTGTAAAAAGTCACCTGCCACATAAATTTTCAACTAAGGCCCGTCGCACACGCAGCTACTGGTATGAAACTGAAATTAAACTATAATCACTTGACAGCTCTTTAAGCTTGACAGTCTTTTGCAAGTCCACGGCATGTGTATTCAAATCGAATGTCGTACACGGCGCTACTAGTCGCGGACCCGTACGCTACTGGTTAAGTGATAAATCGCCAAGAGTCTCGAACTGTCGGTCGCGCGAGGATTTGTTGGAGATTTTTTTCGAAACTTATGTAGTGAAATGACGAAAAACGAAATGAATGACCAAGCTTGCATACACTGAACACGCGTTTATTTTCGACCCTCGTCCCGTCCACTCGTGTACGAGAATTGAGTATCCAACTAGTTTTTAACTGTCGTCTCTACGCAGTTTCGTCTTTTATGGATATAGCTCCATGTGTTTTCATTCTTGAAAAAGAAATGATTAAGAATCTCAATCAATAAGATAGATATCTTAATTTAAGATAGGTATGTTTAATAATTTAGAGTATGAGTATATTATATTTAAGGTATAGTTTAAGTAAGTAATATAGATAATAGATAGCTATATCACGTACAAGCAGATTAATTTCTGCTTCTGTGATTATTGTTTATTTGCTAGATGTAAGTTTTTTCCACTGTAAACTTGCTATTGTAAACTTAGTAAATAAACTTTATTATTATTATTATTATTATTATTATTATTATTATTATTATTATTATTATTATTATTATTATTATTATTATGTGCGACGGGCCTAATAGTTTTGGTAAAAAATATATAAAGGACCCCGCACACCTCTTATGGGATTTGGGACTTCCGCCAAATTTAACCAAATTCTAGTATGATATAAATTTGACCTTTCTGATCAATACTTAGCATTGGCCCAACTTGATCCTATGACTAGTTTTTGAGATACAGGTAGTTTAATGTCCAAGAAATGTACACATTTTAATGCATTTACATCTACCTGTCACCTGAGCGTGAGGATACCTGACCATCCTGGTATATTATTAGGTAACAGGTAGATGTAAATGCATATAAAATGTGTACATTTCTTGGTCATTAAACTACCTGTATCTCAAAAACTAGTCATAGGATGAAGTTGGGCCAATGTTAAGTATTGATCAGAAAGGTCAAATTTATATGATACTAGAATTTGGTTAAATTTGGCGGAAGTCCCAAATCCCATAAGAGGTGTGCTGGGTCCTTTAAAATAACTCTATTCGCGCCAAAACGCAGTCGTAAATCAATGACGTCACAAGACGGGTTTATTCGACATGTCGATTATTCGTACAAAGTACAGACAAATCGTTGTTCTTCGTTAAAAACCTGTGTTTTTTCCACAAGAGGTTGGGAACAAGATGGCGGCGTTATTAATGTGAATATGTATATCTATAAATATATGGGATTTTAGAACCAATCAAAAATAAGACAGCAATAGGGTACTTGCATGAAAAATTAAATTGAATATTGTTTATTGCAAACTGTAGGAAATCGAAAAAAAATCGATGCATGTTTTTCTATTTTGTTCAAATATAATTATTTCGGAAGTTATAACAAATATTGAGTTTTATATATATAGATACTGAGCATGTGCGACGTCACAACTCACCACGTATTATAGCTAAGCTATGACGTCGGAAGGACATTTCAAAGCGTTGTATCTCTGTCAATTTTTGACTAACAAGAAAAAGAAAAAACACGTGTTGACTTATTTTTCATGGACTATCGAAATCAGCAATAAAAAAATTTGATGCAAGGAGCCTATTCACTGTACCGGTGACACACTCACTACTCACTCTGGGTGTGTCATTCCTGAACTCGCCCCGTTTCGCCAACCTTAACCTAACCAATCTTTTTGTTCCTTGTTTTGAAAATTTCGAAACCATCAAAACATGAATTTATCAATAATACGTGAAACCTTGATAAAGATACGATATTAATACGAAAAGCAAGGAAATCTGATCGTTTACACTACTTTATTAAAATTGTAAAGTTAATGATGCCTGAAAACCACAATACAAAAACCTTCAGAAATTTTGGTAGTTTCATGACTATTGAAGCATTAATCAACTATAGCAACTCAAATTGAGATAATTGTACTTGGCCATCAGCAATATGCCTACTGCAGAAGTTTCTATAAGAAATCTACAAATCATTACTGCTCTTGTAAGTTCTTTTACTTGTTTATATTTTTTTAACCCATGCTTCTTCAATTTTGCTGAAATACACAAAAAGAGTCTTATAATATTTTTTATTAATGTAGTTCTTCTTTAGGACTCTCTAAGCTATGGTATGATATACTGCTTCATTTCTCCATATCTACAGAAACTAGGAAGTTCCCATGTGCATGTTAGTATTCTGACAATTGGACTTCTTATTGCCGAACAACTCTCTCCAGATGTTGCTGTATGTATGATCCTGGTACAAATCTTATGAGTTAACATTGTTTTTTTTTTCAGAAAATATTCACTCATATCCATGGTAAAAGATACGCACTTTTCCTAATGCTTAACACAGCATTTATAACGCACATTATAATGGTTTTGACTGATAGTTATTGGTTTACAATTTTAATCCGCATATTATTCAGTATTACAAATCAGTCTCAAAATCTTTGTCTCGAACTATTGCTTGATAAAGCTGAAAATGATGATATGAAACAAACATTAAGCAGAAACTGGAGTATTTTAAGTGGATCTGGTTTTATAATTGGTCCAATTGTTAGTGGGTATTTGTTTGATATTGGTTTTGGATATATAGGAGTTTTAGCAGCCTTTTTAGCATTGATTAATGTTTACTTATTAATGAGCATAACTAAAACCGACAAGGATTCTAATGTGGAGCCTGCCGATAAGTCGGTATTGGATAAAGCTAGAACAAAAGTTAATAAAAACATAAAAGAATTTAAAAAGTGTCTAGCAGAAAAGCATTGGGATATTTTATTGCTCAAATATCTTTTTGCTGCAAGTGTGATGATATTTTTCTCTAAGTTCACACAAATATTAAAACATAATTATTACTCAGGGAGTATTACTATGGGTCATATAGGTTCCTATATAAATTGCTTAGTGTTTGCTTCAACATTTTTGGTTGGTGAACTTAAAACAACTATTCAAAAATGTCCTCTAATTTTTGTCAGTGAAATATCATTCCTGCTTATTGCAATTTTAATGATTCTAGCTTGTTATGCTCCATATTTAGAGCTTTACATGCTTTTATTGATCCCAATTATAATATTAAGATCTTTTATAATGACTCTTTGGAAAGAACTATTTGCTGAACGCAAAAGCGAATCTCTCATTACACTCAATAGTTCTGCCAGTATTTTAGCAGGCCTAACTGTTCCTTTAATGTTTGGTTTAATCTGTAATCAAATTGCATATAGAGCTGTGATACTTTTCTCCTTTGTCCCTATGATCTTATGTTGGGTCATTATTAAGTGGCATTCCAAATTTATTATTATTTCGAATGACGAAGCAGATAAGAAAGACTTGTAATGTTTAGAAAAATATATTTATTGTAAATTCAGATAAATCAATGACAAAATGTGTTTTATTTTTTACTTCTCATTACAAAATCCTGGAGAAAATCTTTCCAAGTTTTGTCAGGAATTTGCTAAGGGAGTGAAATTGATAATAAAAATAAAAAACAAACATAATATAGAGAGGTACCTAATTAACATGCAGACAAAAAAATCTATCAAAAACTTTTTTATAAAAAAAAGGGGTGTCTTAAAATGAATAAACTTCTTACATTTGTTCGATCACTTTTAAAGTGATAAAAATACACATGGTATAATGGTAAAAAGAATTATATCACAGTTATCTTATTCAACTATCTCTAAACATTATGTACAGAAATTTTCCCTTAGAACTTTATGAAGTTTCTTAGCTTTCCTGGTACCAAAACCTGGACATTCTGATAATTGAAACTCTGTGGCTTTAATAATGCCTTCCAGAGTTTTAAATCTTGTTAGTAAATTGATTGCATCAGTTTTGTTTACTGGTTTTATAGAAGATAAAGCTTGAATCACCTAAAAGTATATTTGTGATGTTATTATTTACATAATTAATTAAAATACTCACTTTTAAATAGGGCGAAGATTCAGATTTACCCATAACATTATCAGGTGGTTTGTTTTCATATATTTTGTAAGTTTCAAGTATTTTTCCAGCTTCATCAGGGCTCCAAGCTAATATAAGTGTCATATTGGCCAAAATGCAAATTCTGGTCAAATTTTTAAGTGCATGATGAGGTTCTTTAATGTCCACCTAAAGATTATCTTAATACACACCACCGTCACTTTCCATTGTCAAGAAAACTTACCTGGACTAACAAAATTCTCAATTTATAAAAATTCTTCAACAGCTTTAATCTTTCATGTATATAATCTGGATTCAAATTGTGATATCTCAATGAAAGAAATAAAGCACATATTTGAGCCCCCATTTGATAATCTGGAACAATATCATCATATTCCCAAGCAACTAGTGTTATAGATTTTAATACTGGATTTCCTCGTTGTTTTGGGTTTACCAGGAGTGTCGGAGTTGTTGAAAAGGCTTTTGTAGATGCTGCTTTTGATGGACCACTTTCGATATCTTTCAAATTTGAATCTGTGTAGAAGAGGGGAAAACATTTTTTTCGGATTTAAAAAATATTGAGCTCTTACCTTGCTCTATGGTATCCTTTGCAAATTCTGCCGCAATTTCTTTCAATTCTGCTTCATCGAATTCCATGTTATTTGCAGCAAAATTCACAAAGCTCCCTCTTTTTAGAATAGAAATCCAGTAGGTAGAATATTTTGTATTTTGGAAAAATAGGCAATTCAATCAATCTGTCAAAAAGGAAAATTCAATATGGCGTGGCAGCCAAGCAAGTTTGTTTTGAATATGTTTTTATGCGTATTTTAAATTATTTTGCTTGCAGTTTTGATTGTAACTTTGATTTTGATCATTATAAAATAATTGTTGACTAGGTGCTTAAACTATTAAATCGGACAGAAGCTAGATATTTTTTTGTGTTTTTTGACCCATGTGTGGCCGCCACGCCATCTTGAGTGTTACGTCACTCGTCACTATTGTAAAGGTAGGTTGCCTGACTTTATGACGTCATCTGGGGTGCCTCAACATAATGCAAATCTCCATAAGGCACCCTAGATGCGTCATCAAGTTACCCATTACCAGACCACCCATTAAGTTCAGGAACCTTGCTGCTTGCCAGCCCAGGCCGGGGATTCTAAAATCACGATTCGACATACGACTCGACAACGAGACGATTTTTCCGACGATTCTAGGTTAGAAATCTCAATGGAATTAGACCTTTCGAGACGACAAGGCCGGTATCGTTTTCGAGTCGGGTGTCGAATCGTGATTTTAGAATCTCGGCCCAGAGCCCAGCTGCCAGCCAACGAATATACACACTGCTACTAAAGGCGTCAACGGAAAATTGTTCGAAAAAAAATTGTTCGAACGGAAAATTCTTCGAACGGAAAATTACTCGAACGAAAAATTAGTCGAACAGAAAATTGTTCGAACGGAAAATTATTCGAACGGGAAATTGTTCGAAAGAAAATTGTTCGAACGGAAAATTATTTTTTTTTTCTTTCTGAAAAATCAATAGTTTAACTGTGAATCGTAAATGAATATGACCGGAGCTACTCAATTCCTTAATTCTTAATATTTGTCCCTTTCTTAATTTTTGGTTTTTTAAATTCAATATTAACATAAAAAGGAATAGCACGTATTAGGTGGACGGGTTAGTTTGCATATTTTTAATTAGTTTCGTTACAGTTCATTTAATACTGTTAGGGCCAAATTTAAATTATATGGACCAACTGGTAAGTGTCTGGTTGTTATCTGGCAAGTACTTTCTATTTTCTAGTGTATAGAAAGTACCTGCTAGGTAACAACCAGACGTTTACCAGTCAGTCCATAATTTTGCCCTTTAGAGGTGTACTGGTTGCCAATAATATTTTGACCTGCGCCCTTTTGTCCGCTCGCTTTTGAGCTGCGCTCTTTTGTACCAGCGCCGAATTTATGGTTCCGCGGATCTTCTCTTTGAGATTCGGTGTGCGAATCGAGCAATCGGAGATTCAAAAATAATTGAAATTTCGAGCTGTTGTATTTAAAAAAGGTTTTTCACGTTTTTGGTGGATTTATGTTTCCGCGGCGTATAAGTACATTTATATTTATCCGCATAAGGCCTGTGTAGAACAAATCTGAAGCCCCCTACCGGCGCCTCTACGCCAAAGTACCAGTGATAACGTAGCAGCATGTCCTTTCTCGCCTTGACGTAGGGTGTTTGCACCACGGGTTAAAATTCCGCTGGCTTTTGCTGTATGAAAACTTGGTTCTACCACAGGTTTTACTACATTAATGGCCGTTTTCACCAACTATTTTAGGGAAGCATTAACGATAAGTATTCCCTAAACTGACAGTTTTCCATGGAGAAATGTCAGTTTAGGGAACACTTATCGTTAGGGCTTCCCTAAAATAGTTGGTGGAAACAGCCATATTTAACATTCTAAAAACAACTCCTTTAGATCTCGTTTACATCTTCCTCTTTGCCTATTATGTTATCAAAATTAAATGATATTTTCCATCATAAATTTAAATTCTAAGCTAGAATCCCTGGAGCAAACAGTTGACGACAGGCCGGTTTCTCAATAGTTGTATGTTGTATTCCTTTCACACCTAGGAGGAGCTCCGGAACAGCTCCGGGGCTTCACGCGCTTATTCCTTCCGAAAAATGTTTGTTGCAACCTGGAACTGCTCAAGCCCGAATCAAACCATTTAAATGCACGAAAGTCAGCGCATCTGTTCCTTTCAAATCAGGGTTGACTATTGACTAACACCGGAGCGAGTAGCTCTAGTGTTCGAAACTCTTGAAAGGAATACAACTAATAACGAGTCACCTCGGGGTTAGTTTTAACTAACGGGGTAAGCATGTCAAGTTGCTATGTTCACCCTAGTTATGCTTAACCCGGGGGTGACTCGCTATTGAGAAACCGGTCCTTAGTTAATGCCGTCGGCCATGGTGATCGTGGCCAATATGGCCGCGATTACCAAAAACGAGGCCGATAAGCAATCCCTTAAGCAGGACGCGCACTGAATCGACTCGGACGGTCGACTCGGCGAAGAGCATTCGGTAGTTTTTGATACTCATGCAATTAAATGAGACTCGAGTCGACCACGTCGAGTCGACGAGTCCGATGCCGTGCGCGGAGTCTCATTTAATTGCATGAGTATCAAAAACTACCGAATGCTCTTCGCCGAGTCGACCGGTCCGAGTCGATTCAGTGCGCGTCCTGCTTAAAGCCTAGTACTCATAACTGCGAAATTCGCATTTTTTTGACATTGGTTCGACAATTTGACGTTTGATACACGCATAAAACGTCAGATTGTCAACGCAATGTCACAAAAATGCGAATTTCGCAGTTATGAGTACTAGGCTTAAGTGTGTATTATTAATTGCTTTGAATGGAAACTATCGGCAAACGTTCGTTAAATTTTTGCTTGCTTTTACAGAATGAAAAAATGTTTGTTTGTGCGTGTGCGTGAACGATTTTATCTTCATTCATTATGACTACAAACCAAACACTCAACTCAACTCAATCCACCCAATGACATAATACACCAGAGGCGTTTTCTCGCGTCTCAAATGTTTCAAAAAATTTTTCAAAACTGGTTTAAGTATTGTCACCATGACGTCATAATTTCTCGGCGCGAGAAAATGGTTTGAAAACTTGGATTGAATTGTATTTCGAAACGGTTTGAACCAATTTTGACGTGACGTCATGGGTTTATCGCGAGAATGTACTGTTTCAAAACAGTTTTGAACCAGTTTCAACGCGAGAAAACGCCTCAAAGCGTTCCAAAATGCAAAAAAAAAATCTTGTAACCGGGCTACATACCTAACTTTTACCCAAATTTTTTTACAGCTACCGGTTTATTTAAGCGGTCCATTTATTGGTGAAATTTGTCGAATATATTTAAATCTGAGGCGTACGTTCGCCAGTTCTCGCAGGTCGTCGGCAGCTGGGCTGCGGGTGACATCACCACACCACTAGCTATCATCAGCAGTCAGCAGCTGAAAGTGATGACATCACCCGCAAACCTCGATGGATTGCTTGCGGTTCAGGCTGTGCTTGTGAGTTAATTTTTTTGGCGAGGCGCATACAGCTGACGACACCGATGATGACGTCGGCAACGGTGCAATTGCATATTACCTATGACTCAAAAAATCCTGTAGTAGTGTGTCATATCCTGGATTTTAAGCTAGATCCAGAGCAAGAACGGTCCGGAGTAGTTATGTCAAATTAGTTACCGGCCATCGGATGGATTGATTGATTGGATGTCGGTTCGATTGGTTTTTGGTTTTATTTTATCCATAGTTTTATCTGTTTTTTCTGTCCAAGAACACCTTAACCAAATCAAAATAAGACTATTTTTTGAGCCGAAAGTGTCTGTCATGTCCACGCGACAACTCCCCACTATTTAGTTGTATTCCTTTCACCCCTAGGAGGAGCTCCGGAATAGCTCCGGGGCGTTACGCCCTTATTCTTTTCGAAAACTGTTTCTTGAACCACGAATCTATTCCTTTCAAATCGGGAGCAACTAATACCGGTGCAAGTAGCTCGAGTGTTCTAAACTCTTGAAAGAAATACAACTTATGTGACGTCAACGCAGACCTCAACTCTTGTCGTAAGATGCATTATCCGAGTTTAAAACATTATAGGTCGAAAAGCGAATCCCTAAACGTAGAAATCACCTTTCTTGCATTTGAAATCGACGAAAAAACTAACACACATACAGTATGCACAGCCTGAATGGCAAGCAATCCATCGAGGTCTGCGAGTGACGTCACAGTTATCAGCTGCTGATAGTCGTGACGTCACCTGCAGACCAGCTGCCGACTCGATAACTGACGAACGTACGGTATTAGGTTGAGCAATCTATTTGGTGGAGTGTTTTCTGTCGATTTTAACACTGAGTGCTCGGAGCAACCTAATCTTTTTCCTATTGATGGGAAGAACAGGGATAAAAAAAACAATACAGCAGCTGCTAGCATCTACTCGAACTTTACTTTTATTACCTACAGAAAAAAATTATGGGTTGTTTTTCTTTGAACGGCGACCAAAGCTTGCCTAATCCTGTAACCGGAATTTTCAGTAACCAGTGTTACCACTTTTCAACCGACGCGGTTACTTTTCGTTTGGTCATATTTTCGCCATTCGAACCATAGCCTAGTTTTTTTTTTGTATATATTTTTCAAATTTCAACTCTTCCACTTTTTCCAGTTTTTTCTATTTGAAATTGATCTAGTTTTCAGTTTTCATCACCTCCTAGCTTTTAATTCAAAGAGAAACAATCTACTCATCATGTTGGACGAAAAAATTGCTACATTATTAAAAGACATAAAGCGACTCAAAGATAAACTGCGAGAAAAAGAAAAGCTACTATTTGTCCATTTGCAAGAGAAAAATAATAATTTGGTGAGCCTATTCCATAATATCAAATTGTCATTCAAATGTTTAATTCGTAGACTACATGCAAGTACTCTAAAGGCTTAACTAAAGAAGAAATTACCCGCTACAGTCGTCAGATGTTAGTCAAAGAAATTGGCCTAGAAGGACAACTGAAACTGAAAAATAGCAAAGTACTTATAGTAGGAGCTGGAGGGCTTGGATGTCCTGTTTCTGTGTATCTTGCTAGTGCAGGAATAGGTAAAAAAACATACACTTTAAATATAAATAATTGATTGTATTATATTAGGTGAAATAACAATAGTTGATTATGACGATGTAGAATTATCCAATTTGCATAGGCAAATTTTGCATACAGAAGATGATATTGATCACCCTAAAGTTAATTCTATCTATGACAAATTGCACAGGTAGGTACCTATAACTATAGAACTAATTATTTCAACAAGTGGTTTTCTACCAAAGCAAGTTGTACAATATCATATAGTGTATATTATCAGCATCAGCTCTGTTTCTGTCAAACTGATAAGAAGGAACATTTCTATTGTTCATCGATTTTTATCTTAGCACCTAATAGCCTTCCAAATCATGCAGCACACTAAATAGCACCACTCGACAATACAACTGTAGCCATGAACTACTGCTTATTTTTAGGTTCTTACGTCAAACTTCTTGATACAATCCATAACCATCACTGCTACCCTGATGGTTGAATTTGCAGGAATTTCTTCCATCTGTATCGGTCTTCCTACCATCTTGAATACAACCAATCTGTAGGACCTCTGTTCAGCTCACAGTTCAAGAGCACATAATTGATATAACCCACTTCACCACATTCACAACACTCGCTGTCCTGCATGCCAAATGCCAAGTTTGTATTTGTATTTATGTATGAGGCAATGTGTAGTTCTGATTCTGCAAGAGACGTTAGTTTTTTGTCTGTTAGCCCTTTTAATTTTTGCAAACAACAGTGTTCTTTGGGGTTTCTTTGTTAATTTGTAGTGTTGGCATGAATGATTTCTACCTATATTGATAAATTCCACAGCCCATTGCCTCCATGTTTCTTCCTTAGTTACTCTGAATAAATCATCATAGTGTATTGTTCTGTTTATAGCAATATGTGCCTCCTGGCCTCTTCCAGCATGCCTATCTGCCTTTTTTTGATTTCCTTTCCTCCATCCTACATATCTAATATTTTCTACCTTGTTCTCAACGTGATTCTATCGGTCCCCCTGTTGATGCCATTTCTGATAATTTTCAAAATAGCACTTTTAGAATCTGATATTAAAACAGCTTTTCCTGTGTCAATCTCTAACGTATTGAGGGCCTTATAGATGGCTAGCACCTACGCTGAACAAATGATCAAATCAAATCAAAAAAAGCTTTATTGTCCAAAAAATTATGCAAATTCCATTGACAAAGCCAAAACAAAAGTCTGAAATCAATTTCTTATATCCTTAAATGTATACTAAGTTAAAATTAAGATGTCAGTGTTGAGAGTATAAATAAGACAAAAAACTAGAAAGACAAGCAATAAAATAAGTAATAGTGAAAATTCTATATACAATTAACAACACCTGAACAGTCTACAATACATAAATAAAAGAACATGGGCTAGATTTGATAGCATTTAGATACCTCAGCAAATCCAACACAGAACCCCCAAGACAGCGCGGGATGGTTGTTAGATCCTGGCATTTCCCTATTATTGTGATTTTCCTTGTGTTGTTGTATATTCCAATTCCGCAATGTGTTGATATTGGCTTCAAAAATACATCTGTATATATTTTTTCAGGGTTCGAGCAAAGAGTATAAACCACCATCCCAGAATTTGTGCAAACAATTCCTCAAAGGGGAATTTTTTATGCATAATTCCTCAAAATTTCTGCAAATTCGTCCAAATTCCCCACAAATTCCTCCAGATACCCCATCACAAATTCCTCCAAATACCCCACCACAAATTTCTCCAAATACCCCATATTCCTCTAAATTCTGAGAAGGGGAAGAACTCATTTTCCCAGAATTTCAAATTTTTCTAATGGAAAATAACAACATGAAAAATCTTGGAAATCGACTTACAAAAACTGAAATAATTGTTAATACAGTCTCACACAATTCAAACTTTTCCTGGAAAACTAGTGAAAGCAAAAATTTGAAACTTTTTGCATGTGAAGAGTAGAAAGGTTAAAGACTTATTTTCCCAAAATTTCAAATTTTTCCAGTAGAAAATAACATGAGGAATATTGGAAATTAACCTACAATAACTGAAGTAATTGAAAATACAGTCTCACACATTTCAAAGTTTTCCTGGAAAACTATTGAAGGGAAAATTTTGAAACTTTTCGCATGTAAAGAGAAAGGAGAGAAGCTCATTTTCCCAAAATTTCAAATTTTCCCAGTGGAAAATAACAACAGGAAAAATCTTGGAAATCAACTTACAAAAACTTAAATAATTGTTAATACAGTCTCACACAATTCAAAATTTTCCTGGAAAACCAATTGAAGAAAATTTTGAAACTTTTTGTATGTGAAGTGGAATGTCAGATACTGATTTTCCCAAAATTTCAAATTTTTCCAGTAGAAAATAACAACATGAGTAGAGATGGCAAATTCTAGAGAATTTATTTTAAGAGAATTTTCTCGGAGAATATTCGGGAACATTGGAGAATTTCAAAGAATATAACTTCTTAACATCATGTGGAGCTTTTAAACATTTTAGGATATGTTTTGTTTCTCTAGTTGCATTTATTTTGTTATTTTGTCTGAAATATTTCTATATCAAACCCCTAGGTTTCATTTTCGAAGGAAGTTCCTCAAATCTAGTCAAAACTAATATTAAATAAGTTTATATTTTTTCCTACGAGCGTGCGCAAAGTAGTACTTTTCCGCACGCATTTCCGGGCTCAAACTTACACTTTTCCGCACTCAGTGCGGATACAGGCCTTATCCGCACTGAGTGCCGAAAAGTGATTATAATTGTCAAGCAACAATAAGTGCACCTGTCGACTTTGACACATGATGACAAATTTTTCCTCTATTTCTATATCAGCCAACATCTATACAAACACCAATTATAAATTAACTTTGACACATTGTCAGATTTGTTCTCTATTTATATGCAAAAATCTACAAACTTTCTCATCAAATTTAAACACTTTAAGATGAACAGCTCTGACGAGGATTTTCTGTTATTTTTTTTGTTATGTAATTTTTTGATAAATGCATAGGTTCCCTTCAAGTTAATTGAAAATAATTAAACAAATTATCGTTTTTTTTTTTTTAATTTTTGTTATTACCTACCTGATATGAAGCTCGTAGGAAAAATTTTGTTCCTAACACGTGCGCAAAGTGTCTTTTCCGCGCGCAAACACGTATCCGAACTCCGCTTCGCGTCGTTCGTATAACTGTGTTTGCGTGCGGAAAAGTAACACTTTGCGCACTTGTTAGGAAAATAACTATTTTCTACGAGCGTGCGGGAAATGGCTCTTCCCGCACGATTTGCTGCGCGGGAAGGCTTTTTTCCCGCACTCAGTGCGGGAAGAGTTTGAAATAATCATTGTGACATGGAATTGTTTGTATTGTTGATACACCTATACCTTTACCTTTAATACCTTTACCTTTTTTGTATGAATACCTTTCAATACATTTTTAATTCTACCTTCTGCACAATCGCATTTTATTTAAATTAAACTTCTCGTAACATCAGATTTAGTATGCTCGTAGAAAAAATATAGTTCCTAACTCTTGCGGGAAGAAATTTCCGTACTCGTTAGGAAAATAGCTATTTTGCACAGGGCGGAGACAATGAAATAACTTATGGCGTTTCTGGTAGTGTTGCAAAGAAAATTTTGAGGAAAATGTGTTTCTCTCTGTTTTTTTAACATGCTGAAAGAAAAAGGTGGAAATACACTCAGTACTCGGTGGACCAGTGCGCATTAAATCTAATCTACCAATAGAAAACGCCTATGGAATCGGGGAATTTACCAGATTTACCCGGACTCACTGGCTGGGTTCGGTAATTGCATCTGCGTTGACTGCGTTGTGGCATCTGCGAGCAAAATGAGCAAAATTTGACAGAGGTCACGTGATTTAACACCTGAAAAAAGATGTGATCACGTGAGGTCCCTCAAAATTTGCACTTTTTGCCCGCAGATGCAATCACCGAACCCAGCATCAGTTTTTCGTTTTTCATTTCAACCTAACTTCACTACGAGCCTAGATAAATTTAAAAATTCCAGGTAACTTCCCATAAATTCTCAAAAACAACCGTATATTCTCATAAATTCTTGAACCTAAAAAAATCATAAATTCTCGAGAATTTAAGGCCAAAGAATATTCTCGGTAATTTCTCTGTTCTCAATAGAAGTTCTTTGGAGAATATTCTCAGGGCCATCTCTAAACATGAGGAATATTGGAAATCAACCTACAATAACTGAATTACCTACCTATTAAAAATACAGTCTCACACATTACAAAGTTTTCCTGGAAAACTAGTAAACGGAAAAATTTGAAACTTTTTGCATGGGGAGAGGGAAGGTGAGAAGCTCATTTTCCCAAAATTTCAAATTTTTCCAGCGGAAAATAACATGAAGAATCTTGGAAATCAACTTACAAAAACTGATTTAGTTGAAAATACCGTCCACACATTTCAAAGTTTTCTTGGAAAACTAGTAAACGGCAAAATTTGAAACTTTTTGCATGTGGAGAGCTGAGAAGCTCATTTTCCCAAAATTTCAAATTTTTCCAGCAGAAAATACCAACATGAAGAATCTTAGAAATGAACTTAGAAATGAACTTAGAAATGAACAAAAACAGAATTAGTTGAAAATATCGTCTCACACATTTCAAATTTTTCATGGAAACTAGGGAACGGAAAAATTTTAAACTTTTTACATGTGAAGAGGAAGGCTAGAAACTCATTTTCCCAAAATTTCAAATTTTTCCAGTGGAAAAGAACAACATGAAGAATCTTGGAAATCAGCCTACAAAAACTGTATTCATTATTGTTTTGAATTTTTTAAATTTGGACCTTTGAATCATGAAGTGAAATTTTGGGAGAATTTCTTTCATGAAAATGAATGTTCAACGTTCGACACAAAACTAGATTTTTTTAAAAATTTCCATTTAGGTATTAGTGTTTCTTATAAGAATGTGAACCTCAGTGACGTCATGACTCTACAATTTCCTTTAAATTCCTCATAAATTCCTCACAAATTCCCCATAAATTTCTTCGAATTCCCTATAAATTCCCCAAATTCTCATAAATTCTGATGAATTCCTTCAAATTCCCCACAAATTCCTCTAACTTCCCCACATTTTTGGCAAAGAATTCCTAGGTGGTTTGCCCTTTGGGTTCGAGTATTCCTCCAACAACTTCTGTGATAAGAGTTGGCCATCTGGACTGAACTTTTGTATTTTCGAATCCACCCAGTCTATTTTTCGCAGTTAAGTTGCCATATCCTCTTCGAAACATGGCAGATTGTCCGTTCTTTCCAATATTCCTATGTGGGCCAACGCATAATCCACTCCTCGATCCACTCCCTCCATTACCGCCGGAGCGCACTTGGTCCGCCAATAAGGAGGATCCTGATTGTAACAATCATAGAATTGAGCATCACCCTATTGACCTCCTCCCCGAGCTCCTCCCCTCATGGCTACTTTTCTAAGCATCAACTTTGTACTAAGTAGGTTCCTTCCATTATCAATGGCATTTCTGCCACTTCAGATAACAACGCCATTATGGGAGTGCTCTTCATGCAGCCAGTCACCACTCTCAAGGCTGAATGCGATTCATTTTGCTAGAATTCATCTTGCTTAGGTACATCGTTTGACAGCCATAACCAATATGGGTTCTAACCAGCCCTTTATAAATTTTCAACAATATTTTTGGGTCAGCGCCCTACCAGGTTCTTGTAATTGCTCTCATTATATTAATTCCTCTGTGCGCCTTGTTAATCACATATTCAATGTGTTCGTTCCACTTCAACTTCCTGTCCAATATGACACCCAAGTACTTATAATTTTCAACCCACTCAATTTCTCTATTCAACACCCTTATATTTGTTGTTGGATTATTTCTGCTATCCTTAGAAAACAACATGGCTTTAGTTTTTTCTGTTGAAATATCCATGTTATGGCCCCTTAGCCATCCTGTCAATCTGTTCAAAGCATTGAGGTAGGTTCAAAGCAACCTGCACTTTTCTTATACCTTCTTCCACCTTTTTATCAGCTGCAAACAATACAATGTCATCGGCATATTGCAATGCACAAGCCTCGCTAGCCACGATTTCCTGAGTTTGACTGGTGTACATGTTGAATGACAGAGGACTCAGAGGCAGAGTGCTATTTGTGGACCTATTAGGTTTCCATAGAACGATTCTCTTATAGTTATATTTCTATCTGAATACAAGTTATATACAGGGTGTCCAGAAAGTCAACGATAATACTGAAAGGGCTGGTAAAACAACTCATGAGAAAAGCATAATTTGACCTCAGTAAAAAATTGATGGTTTTCGAGATATTGCCACTTTAATGAAATTTGTTGAACTCGTCCTCTTGGATCACCTGGCTAATGATTTTTTTTGAAAACTACTTATTATTCTAATAAACAGTTTATTGTAATGACTTACAGTGAAGGATAAACCTAATCTACCTTATGAGATCATTCTAAAAAATTAAACAAATTAAATCATGTTCAAACAAAAGTATTTATTTAAAGTACCAAAAATAAAGAAATCAAATAATATGTTTGAAGTGCCTACCACCAACGTGAATGCAGGCGCGACATCTTTTTAAAAATTGCCTCTTTATCCATCTTGAATCCAAAATCCAAGAATAATAAATTTTAGGTGAAAATCAGATCCAAAAGGACGTTTTAACGAATTTTATTTGAGTTATTATTTCGAGCCTGTTCAACCTAATTTATGCTCTTCAAATTTTTCTGTACTGGGAATGAAGTTATGTTGCACCACCAATATTTGGTCATCAAAGACTCGTTGGTTATCTAGCAGGGTGCACTGGAAAACCAGCACCTCCAGACTAGCTTCTGTTTTGATTCTGGCATTCAATTCAAGCAGCTGAGGTCGAAATTTGAACAACATGATGTAGGGCGCCGTCGCTTGCGTGGCCCTCCCCCAAACAGCAACAAACAGTTGTCAGCAACACAACGTTTGGTGGAAAACCGCCTTAACATGTTCACTATCTAATCACATATTACCTTTTCTTAGCATTAACAGAAACCTGAAAATAATCCCTATAAAGCAACATATGGACAGTCACACAATAAAACAACTATTAGACTCAAATACATTTGATGTAGTTGTTGATGGCAGTGATAATGTGGCGACAAGATACCTTTTAAATGATGCCTGTGTTTTGAACAATATACCTTTGGTCTCTGGCAGTGCCCTACAACTAGAAGGACAGCTGACTGTTTATAATTATAATGGGGGCCCTTGCTATAGATGTCTGTTTCCTGTACCACCACCTCCAGAAACTGTTACTAGTTGTGGAGATGGGGGTGTTTTGGGACCTGGTAAGATGTGTTATATTTTCATAAATTTATAATTGATTGATACATTTATTGATAGTTCCTGGACTAATTGGCGTTCTCCAAGCCCATCAAACCATTCTAATCCTCACAAATTCTTCCGATGGTGTTTTGTCACAAAGATTTTTGGTATTTGATGGCTCAAGTGCAACATTCCGTAATGTAAAACTACGACCAAGGAATATTAATTGTGCTGTTTGTGGTGATAATCCTCTGATAACGGAACTTATCGATTACGAACAATTTTGTGGCGCTGGGGCACATGATAAAGTGAATGAAGATGATTTTTTTTTTCAATTAATTTTGGAATTTTTTTAGGTAGAAAACATAAATATTCTTTCAAAAACACAACATATAGAAGCGGAAGAGCTTCCTAAGAAGTTGGGCACTTCCTTAATACTAGATGTCAGGCCTCACTTGCAGTTTGATTTATGTCATTTGCCTTATACAACCAACTTACCGTTTGCAGAAATTGAAAAACCAGATGCGCTGGATCTGGTTAAGCGTTTGGTTAAAAATATTGATGCAGATAATGAAGGTAGAATTTTAATATTATTGTTTAAGCTTTAAATTTAATATATTTATTTTAGTAATCGTTTTGTGTAGACGAGGAAATGACTCTCAGAGAGCTGTTAGCCTCTTGAAACAGAAATTATCAGATTTACCAGTGAATTTTTTAAATGTTAAAGGTGGATTACACGCATATTCAAAGTATGTGGATTCAGATTTCCCAGATTTTTAATAGAGAATTGATAATTGTGACCTATTAGTTTTTCTTGCAAATAATTACGCAAAATTTACGATGACATAACTTTGATAAAATAAAATCCTTCTTCTAACCTGTAGCTTAAGGAGGGCTTTCCAGTTTTTTTTTCCATTAGTACCTATGGAAGTTTGCAAACTAGTCCAAGACTGGTAAAGAGGTCTGCCTCCCAAGTATATATTTTTTCTACAACCATTCCTAACTTCCCAAAACATTCTTTCTCTCTGTTTTTGAAAAAGTAATACCTATGCACTTATATGTATTGATACAGCTGCGGATGCCGCTTGTGCATTGTTCCCAAAAATCTAAAGAAAGGTTAAAATGCCTGTAAGAGTTTCACAACATATTGGTGAGAAGAGCAGAAAACACATACTTAAGTGGCAGAATGGTGTACTTGAGAAATCCAAGATCAATGCAAATCACCTGCAAGTTTATGGAGTAAAATTTCCATGCCCAAATCGGTTTTATTTGTTGAAAACAACATAAACATATCAAAAATTCTGAGACCAAAGGCCTATTTGAAATTAAATTAAAGACATCAGAAAACAGGGATTCAGCTAGGACGATTTTTGATGTTAGAAATAATTCCAAAAGAAAATATCTGCTCTGCAAAAAATAATAATGAGAACTGACCACTGTTCAAAAAGTATGTCCGATCTTTCAACCTGGCAGAATTTCCCAAGATCAGTTTTTATTTTTTTCCAAAATTGTTGCTCCAAAAGCACTTTTAACGTGGGACTGAAATCGAGACTAAAATATGAAAAAAACATTCTATCAGAAATAGAGGAAGAATTTTATTCCATCAAAAATTAGATGAAAAAAATTGGGAAGGAAACAATAAATAAAAAAAATGCCCTCTTTGAATTAGACAGAAACAGGAGACTTGATGCAATGAGAACCACTCACATAAGTAAAGTATTACAAACAAACATTTTAGTTTAATTTGAATAAAAATTAAAACAATAATTTTTTAAAATTTGAATTCCATTTAGAAAAATTAGGACAAAAAAAAAAGGGTTACAAAAAAAAAAAACAAACAAAAAACAAATAATTTTAATCAGCCTTCCATGATTGTGTACTTGTTGGATTATTAAAATTTATTCCAAAAGGAATACTATTAACTACACCATTGGTTTTCTTTTGTACACTATCTATGACACTATTGCCATATTTAACAGTATTCGAAACAGCTCCAAATAAACCATTAATAAGTCTTTTTGATGGTGAAGATGAGGTATTGTCTTTATTACAAGAACTTTTGTCTATGAGAAATTTCAACAAAATCTTATTGAACAATTCGTGGTTTTCTTGGTGAGGATAATGACCAGTCTCTTCAATGATTTTTAAACGAAATTTTTCACAAAATTCTGTAGATTTCACTATGCCTTCTAATGACACATGTTGGTCTTTACTGCCAGTCAATAAAACAACAGGAATTTCTATTTGATCTAATTGTTCGCTGATTTTAAAAAATGGCAAATTTCTGTAGTAGTTTATAGGACCAGTCCAATCTTCATTCCTGGAAAATGTATATTTGTAAGCATCTAGTAAATCTTGAGGCAAATGCTTATAATATTGATCAATAATCTTCACATCTTCCTTCAAAGCATCTATTTCTGGTAAATAAGGAAGCTGCACATAGTTTAACCATTGATAGTTGTATTTTGAATTGAGCGTTTGCCAATAAACATTTGGATGAGGACATGATATAGTAACAAACTTACTAACCACGCTAGGGTTTTGATGAACTAGATACCACCCTAATAAAGCACCCAAATCATGGCCAATTATAATACAGTTACTAACGCCAAATGAATAAATGAACTGAGTCAGTTCTTCTAGAACCCTATCGATTTTGTAGCTGGTTCTCCAAGCTGGTTTATCCGAATCTCCAAAGCCTTTAAGATCCAAGGCTACCACATGGAAGTTGGTTGAGAGTACAGGAATTTGGTACCTCCAGCTTAACCAGAAATCTGGAAATCCATGGAGCAAGAGGATTAATGGTTGATGTTTTGGACCCGATTCGACGTAATGGAGTTTGACACCCTGAAAAAGATAAAATAATTTAATTGAAGAAAGACGTTAAAATTAAATAAATTGAAACAAGATTATGAAAACAATGTCCTGAATCTTTCAATGAAGATTGGAAAAGCTCCTCAATTTAATTCAAAATTCTGTTAAATCGCAGTCGGTAACCTACGCTTAGTTTATCATAATAATTGTTTCGAAAAAAATTAATAGTAACTATTTGACATTGACCGTATTATTGCAAAATTCCTGACCTTAGCAAAGTATTGTTTCTCAATCTTCCTAAGTTTAAATACGTTAAGAAAGTTTAGGTACCTTTAATTTGACATGTTTGTGTTGTCCTAATGAAGAATCCACAAGAAACGGCGGTGGAGTGTCACGTAACTGCAATTTTCCAGAAGCGCTGGGGTTCCAAACCCATTTCACAATTTTTTTGCACACCACCCAAACACCGAAAATAAACGACAGAAAATGAATACGAGCTTGTCCATAAACTGATATTGATTGTATGCAGGGTGCCTTTTTAGCCATAGTATTGCTCGTAAGGTACTAAGTTCATGTTGTTAGACTTGTTATAATAAAATTATTGAAAAAAAAAAAAAACTTATCGGCTTTAGACTTGGTTGAGATCGAAGGTCACCTTTTACTGATGGACTGATTTCAGTTGGAAGTGTAGGGTACTGCATGTGCTGGCACTAGTCGCCTGATATTTGTTTTGAAATTTTATCATATCAAAATGGTATGTAGGTACCTATAATTGATAAGAGGAATAACATGCGTGATGTTCACTAGAAATGGACCGATAAAATTGAGTCAGTGTTGGCTTATTTTATTTGGAGTACCTACTTGGAAATTATTTGTCATTAGGGACATTTTATTTGTGATATACGTAATCCGGTCAGAGCCGGTTCAATAGCTATTTTATGCCGAGGCAAAGTTCAATTCTGGCGCCCCCCTTCTCAAATTGTATTGTCAAAATGGTTGAAGATCAATATGATAAACAATAAATTTTAGGAAATCGTTTAGAGAGAGTAGGAGAATAAGACAAAAAAAGTAACTTCATTTTTTTAAATAAGTTAGTATATCATATAAATAGGTATTTACTTATTACATGAGGTCTGTTCTCACAGAAATCATAAACCAGTCGGAGTAGTGTTTTTGATTGGTGCAAATCGCCAGAAACCACTTTTCTGATAGTTTACAACCAATGAAATTCGCTCTGATAGGTACCTATTAGGTGTGTGATACCTGTGAAAATAGATCTATACTGTAGATAGATATACATATATGTATTTTTCAAATTAACTAAACACAAAAATCATTTCTCAAAACCTATTGAATTATTATCAACACTAAAAATGAACCCGTCTGGCTTTACGTCTTGCAAAGTCGGAGATGAGTTCGTTGATAGGTTTGTTCTCACAGAAATCACAAACCAGTCAGAGGGAATTTCATTGGTAGAAAATAGTTATAAAACTGGTTGTTGGCGATTTGCACCGATCAAAAACGCTCTGAATGGTTTGTGATTTCTGTGAGAACAGACCTATAATCTACACCATCGAACATGTTATAACCATCGAGTGTGTTCAATGGTCGAAGTTTATAACATTCTCAATTCTTAGAGCGAAAGTTCGGTCAATCTGTTTTGAGACAAGATACAAGATGATCGAAAGTGCCTTGATGAGCGGTGACAGGTGACAGTGATAACACGTAAATTAACTATTACCGGACAATGTTGTTGGATCTTTTATTATCTCCTTATCATCCTTGTGGCATAAAACTTTTTTTTTTTAACTTCACTCGAAATAAATTTGTTTGCAATTTGGCGCCCCTACCCTAATAACACCGATCTCCCAGAAACATCCTATTTATGTACCATTAAGGTCCTTATGTTTCCGACATAAATGGTACATCGCTGCGATGTTTGTAATGTAACATCTCTAGGATGATTGTCCTGAAATGTTTTAGAAACATCCTTTCGAAAATATCTATCGACAAAAAGATTTTTTGTTCTCAAAATTAGATACTTATTACAGCTAAAAAATGGCTAACATTATTTTACAAAACTAGGTAGGACCTCAGACCGGTAGGACCCAGTATTAAATTTGCCAATTTTGTGTGATTTCTGAAAATGTCTCTATCACACACACAAACTAATTTCAAATTCCATAATATACCTGTAATGTATATAGATAATAAGGAACTTAATATTAATTTTGTATTGTAACAACAGCAATATTTAATTTTTCATTCGACTTACAACTTGGAATAAAATAAAATATGTATTGATAAAAGTCTTCTCTCTTTTCAACTTTCAAACATCGTGAATATTCGTGAAGCCGAAGTGTATGGCGCAGGCGCGTGCTCAGGCATTTGTACTTGTACCGGTCAGGACAGGAGGGCACGCCACCACGTCGGGTCGGCGCCGCAGCCAGCGCAGACGGGCAGAATCAGTCGAACGGGTCGTCCTGTGCGCTACGCTTGTGTTGTTGGGCGGAATTTTATTTCGTAATGGCGTCGTGCTGTGTTGAGGATTTGTCAATTTGTGGTTTTTCGCTACACCTAGTTGTGCCATTTTGTGTTCGAAAGGATCTCTGCGACCTACCAGTGCTTATTAGTTGGTGAGAAAGATTATTTGTTGAAAGATAACGTCGCATAACTATCAATTGTTTAGTTTATTTAATTTCAATATGGCGTCGGTTAGGAAATTTCTAACTTTTCTGATAAATAGCCCCTAGAAACCCGAACTTCATTCTTCATTAGGTAAGAGAAAATAACCAATAATTATTTTTTGTTTTCATAGTTGATTACATTCTAGGTGTGCAAGTTGAATTGTACTTCAAGAACTTTGGATTTTGGTTCTGTGGTTGTTTTGGTTAGATAATGGTACCTTTATGAAATTGGAGCACCAACAAAAAAAGAAAACGCCGAACTCCCCTACTACAACATGCTGCCACTGCCAAACTATGGTTTTCGATGACATGACGGGGCATAAATACTACATTATTTAGGCAAAATTGTCCGTCGATTATTATTAGTTGATAGATAATCAATATAAGTATACATGTACCTTATTTTTTCAATAAAAAATGTTATTGGAAACTGATGTGCCTACTTAATTTTATAATTTTCAATTTTTGTTTTTTTTTTTGGAAAAAGTTCTGACTTCCAGAAAATAGAACGAAAATTGAAAATTATTGAATTAGGTAATTTTTAATCCATAATCCTAAAATTCATTCACCTATTAAAGTCATACTAGAAACATATAGAGGATGTTTCTTACACCTGCCCCGGATGTATTAGGTACATCCCGCGTCATCTTAGAAACATCCCTGAGAGATGTTTATAGGACATCGCAAATGATGACACGGCTGTTGCCTGCAACATCCCAGGGATGTCCCCAGGAAAATAGGGACCTCCCAGGGACGTCTTCATTATCCCTGATGGATGTTTCTGGAATGTTTCTGCGATGTTACTGTGTTATTAGGGTAATCGTGGCGCCCTAGGCGGTTGCCTTGGTTGCCTGTGCCTAAATCCGGCCCTGAATCCGGTTGAATTCAAAAATTACGTCTCAAAATAATTCTACCGATAACATTAGTAAATTAAGTTTTCGGAAGTAGGTATTAATAATTGAAACCAACTATGTAGGTATATATATACCTATCTAATTTTTAAAATTTTTTTGATCAATTAGGTACCTAATTTTTTGTTTTATTTAAGTAATATACCAACGAAATATTTTTTTTCTACAACTGTCAAAAAATGATGTTGTTCGCACACTCATGACAGTTTGCGAAGTGACACTTTTTTCCCAGGTATTGATTTTTTAACGTTCCCATGACACCAGTGTGCGAACTAGCTATTTCGCACCCTAGTGTGCGAAATAGCTAGTTCGCACACTGGTGTCATGGTGACACATACCTGTCAGGATTCCAAAAAATAATTAAAAATCACATGCCTTTAATTGGAAATGCAATTTTGGCTTCGAGATCCATATTTGAATAGAGTTGTAGAAAAAATATTGTTTGCAACTCGGGCGCGAAATGTTTTTGGTGATCTCGAACGATTTTTTGACTCCGCTACGCGTCGTCAAAAATATTTCGTTCTCGATCACCAAAATGACATTTCGCGCACTTGATACAAAAATAACTATTATTTGCAATCATATATGTAATCTTGACATTACTGGTTCTTTAAAAATTTGGAAGTGTCACTTTACTTGTGTCACTTCCAGTGACGCTTTAACCTTTCTCTGGCCCGTAGGTCATTTATTTGGTATGGCCTTTCATGAGTGATTTTTTTTTATGGGGTTAAATAAAATCATTCAGACGATTTCAAACTACTAACCTGGCAGAATATGAAGACAAAAAATGTTGCCAAGTAGTATTCGGTGAAATCAAAGAAAGGTACTACAAAATGATGGAAAAAGAATGGTCACAAAACTTTCTGTCTGGTAGGAACGTCCTAAAAGAAAATGATGGGATTGAGCTTCCAGCCTACTAATCACCACATATGGATTCTAGGGACTAAGTGTACTGATGGGTGCTACGGAAGAACAGCTGCATGGCTTGGGATCAAATCCATTAGCGAGGAAAATATGCATTAAGGGTTGCAACTCTGAGGAAAATTCGTATCACGTTGCCTGTGCATGTCCTACAAGCTCAACAACAACAAGGCACGACTTCGTGGTACACTGGACCCTTAAGACACTGCTCAAGTCCCTGGATGCTCGAGAAGATGCTCAAAGAAACTTACAATTTGGCAAAGCAGCGCAAACACTAACAGGTTCCTGCTGTAGTCGTTGCCAGTTGCCACGTGCCCGTGCTGCGCTAATGACGCGACGGCGATTCAGCGCAGCTCGGTGACTTCCGGATTGATTCTCGATGGAGCGAGCGGAGCGATTCCAGAGCATCGTGACGTCAGGCAGTGCACTCTGGCCAAAACAAATGTGCTTGAGCAGTGTGAATTATGAGAATTAAAGAGTATTGAAATATATGCTAGTCCTGCTACTAAACAAGTCGATGTTTTTAATATAGTGGGCTTTTATATCATAAATTAAAGGCCAGTAGTTGGCCTTCATCCTCTAGTGGCCCGTAGGACATGACCTAATTGTCCTAACGGATAAAGTGTCCCTGGTCACTTCCCTTTTCGATTTCCCTATTCGACTTTCCTCACCGATTTCCCTCTGTAATTTATTTACCTTTGCTGGCAACAATGAGAACATGTCAGGTAAAAACGTCAAAACAGTGAATGACAAATTTTGGCATGTTTGTTTTATTTTTTTAATATTAAAAAAATTGAATGACTAATCATAATTAATGGTGTGCTTGCAAATAAAATAGTATACAAACCTCAAAGGAAAGTTTTCATTTCTGTCTCGAGATTAATAGTCAATCTCGACGCTCCGCGTCTCGATTGACTATATAAATCTCTCGACAGTAATGAAACACTTCCCTATTCGGTATGTAATATACTATTATCCATCTTTTTTTTTTTTTTTGAAAATGTAATATTTATTTATCCATACAGATGAATTACAATATATATTTTGAAACCCTTTAAACAGTGTGCAACACTGGTATCAAGGGTATGACACTTAAATAGCAACAAGCGTGACACATCCCAGGCCTGTAGCCAGGTTTTGATTCCAGAGGGGGCAACCGAAAATTTAGAGGGGGCAAACTTATTTTTGTTTTTTTCAGCATAACCTAAAATCACGGACAAGGTGCAAAAACTTTACTTTCCAAAGTACATAATAACTGATTATGAAATATAAAAGCTTAACAAAACACAAAGACATAAAAATAGTTATTTATGTATCAAGGGTACTAAGTAGATGATTATGCCCTGAGGGCGACAGTCTTACAAACCCGAGGGCCTCTGGCCCGAGGGTTCGTAAGTCGCCCGAGGGTATATATCTATTAGTACCCGTGGTGCATACAAACTTTTATGTCATACCAGTTGGTTGTGAACAATGAACTATAAACTACACGTACCTGGAATGGCCCGGCCTATCTCTAAAATGCGGCACATTGAGATGGAGAATGTAGGGGATTGCTATCACTATTCACCTTATGGGTCACTTATGAAAATCTTTCCTTGTCTAAAAAATATTAAATTTGAGGTTAGGAATATACACCAAACCTTAGACAAGGAAAGAGAGAGGACGCGTAACATCCTTTACCTGCACTAGCAGCTGGTTGTGACCGTTTGCCACCAAATAATGGCGACAATTTTTCATGGTGCCACTATGTAAATTTTACTTCAGACTAACATTTTTGTGATATTCAGCATGGTGGATTGCTAGCGTATGGCTGCAAAACCCGCAGAGAAAAAAAAGTCGATGGGATTACATTTAACAGGCAAAAAACAATAAGCTTTCTAGGTTATGTTATCAAAAAAAGCAGACATTTTTTGGTGGCAAACTGCTTCATTTTCACCTGCTGTGTTACGAGTCCCCTCTCTTTCCTTGTCTAAGCACCAAACCTAACAGCAAGGAAATAGAGAGAGAAAGGGATCCCCCACTGTATAGCTTTCTTTGGACGCACTAAGAGAGAGGACAAATGCCATACAAATGCCATATGCGACAACAGTCGGTGCCATTCCAGATACGTGTAGTTTATAGTTCATTGGTTGTGAATAATAAATACCTGGGAAAAAAGTGTCACTTCGCAAATTGTCATCAGTGTGCAAACATCATAATTTTTTGACAAAAATAATA